GTGAAAACGAGCGAAAAAATTTTGAAAGTTTGAATTCGCGCGCTTTTACTCACCGGGCGGCCTAGAAAAAACCTCGTCCCTAAGGGCTTTCGAGCGTATTTTTCGATGCGTTTTTCTCGATGAAAGAATTTTTTTTGAATTTTTTCTTTATTTTTATGTCAATCTACATGCATTTCTGCACATTTTGATGCAATAAAAAATTTCACCGTACCTTTAAAAATTTCGAATTACATTTTTCCCATGAATTTCAGTAGATTTAAACTCAATTTTCAGCTAATTTATTTTTTATTTTTAGCTATTTGTGGACACTCAGATTTTTGAATTTGCCGCCGTTTTATTTAAATTTTCAGATTTTTCTCATCATCTCCCATCTCTTACTTGGCATCCTCCAACGCTGCTGCAATCGGCAATTCAATGGATTTCAGCAAATCCTCATTCAACTTTTCGAATTCTTCTCGTGTCAATTCATAACTCCACTTTCCAACTGTCTTCAGATTCAATGAAATCGTCGTCGATGGAACATTTGTTAATCTAATTTTCCCCTTTTCCACTTCCAGTCGAATCTGTTGAATATCCTCTTTATCGTCGATGGTTTTTTCGAATTTTTCAGAAATTTTTTCGATTAAATGTTTTTGAACTCTTTCATTGAAGTCCTGGCCGCCAAGACGATTGTTCCCGGCCATCGCTTGGGTCACAAAGACGCCTCCTTGGAGCCAGAGAACAGAGACGTCGAGGGTACCGCCGCCTGCAAGATTTTAGATTTTTAGAAAATGGGGAAATAAGGGTCAGAAGAATTGAAAAAAAAATTGAGAAAATACTCTTTAAACAGTTTTTGAAACCTAAAAAGAATTGTTCTAAATTTTCTAAAAAATTCAAATTGCTTCATTTTTGTTGAAAATTGATTTGACGAAAAAAAAATTTTTGAAAAAAATTGACTTTTCAGACAATTTCAGGTCGTCATATCAATTTTTATCAATATTAGGCAATTTTTTTTTGAATTTTTGCTTTTTTTTTTGTCCGATTTGAGCTAATTTTAGCCACTCTGAGTTCATTTCAGTCAGATTAAACGGAAATTTTGAGATTTCACCGCCTGCAAATTTCGGACTTTATAAAAAGCGGAATCACAAAAATAGAGGTCAAAATAATTGACGAAAATCGAAAAAATCCTCTGGAAAAAGATTTTAAGAACGTTTTTTCCATGAATTTTCTGAACCAAAATACGGAGTTTTTGGGATTTTTTCAGGTTTTTAACATCTCAAAAATCGTCCCCACTTTTTTTCTGTTAATTTCGAAATTTTTGAGATAAAATTATAAAAATAGAGATCAGGCGAATTGAAAAAAAAATTCTTTAAAATTCCTTTTTCAAAAAACTTTTCATGAATTTTTAAAACCGAAAAACGGAATTTTCGAGATTTTTTTTTCAGATTTCTGACATCTTGAAAATCGATTTTCCCTATTTTTTCTTTAGAAATTGACAAAAATTCTAAAAAGATCATTGAAAAAAATCACTTTTTGTGGATAAAAAAAACCCCCCAAATTCCGTATTATGCAATTTTTTTCTAACTTTTGGGTAATTTTTACAGCTCAAAAAGCGATTTTTAAGGATTTTTACCGTTTTTTCCTATTATTACCAAATCCTCACTTACCTAAATCTACAACAACCACATTCTCCACCCCCTGCTTCTTATGCAATCCGTATGCCAACGCGGCAGCCGTCGGCTCCGATATCACTCTCCGCACTTCCATTTCAGCGATTTCCGCTGCGATTCCCGTAAAATTCCTTTGTTTTTCATTGAATTCCGCCGGACACGAGATCACTACTTGACCCAGAACTGCTCCTAAGTGTTTGGCAGCTGCGGACTTTAAATAATTGATAATTATAGCGCCAATTTCTTCAGGGTACACATATTTCGTTCCTTCGTCTAGTGGAATTTCGAAAAACGCGCGGCCATTTGGATCCAAGGTGATTTTGAATGGATATCGCTTTTGGTCAGCCTGGAATTTTGGGTTTTTTGATTTTTATCAAAACTTTTAACTTTGAAGTACCAAAAAATCTTTATTATCCCTCTCGAAATTCCTTCCAATAAACCGTTTTGCATCGTAAATCGTGCGTTTCGGATTATGCTCTTGCTGCTCCACGGCTCGCGATCCAACGATAACTGTACCATTTGGTCTGGAATTTTCTAGAATTTTCTTTCAAAAATTCAAGAAAAAATACTCACAAAAATGCTACAACACTGGGAATCGATTTCTTGCCCAAGTCATCAGCTAGAATAATAGTTTCCCCCGTTACAGCGTGATAAATGCCAATTGACGAATAAGTGGTGCCTAAATCGATACCGGCGATTTTCGGTGGTGGCGGAGGTAGACCGTATTTTTGTCCGAGCCATCCAGCTAGTAATAATACCAATATACCGCCGCCTGTAAGTCGAATAATTGATTTTTTTAAATTTTCTAAAAATTCGCCAAATTTACAAAATCAAAAACTCACCTATAAAAGAGCCTGTGGAGCCTGCCATCGTTCTAAATTTTCCATATACTGATAGTTTAATAAAATTAGGCTAAAATATGGTAGAATCAGCTGGAAAAGGCTGATTTTAATACGGTGACGTGTGCTGAAAATCCTGAAATTGCCGAAAAATGATGCAAGCGCGCTCTATTGAACACCGACAAAACGAGGGTTTTTGAATATAGGTTTTCGTGGAGAGAGGGGAAATGAGGTTTGGGAAAGGGTTAGGGAGGAATTTTAAGCAAAAAAAGCGCTAGAAAATTGAATTTTTCATAAACTATTGATAGAGATACAGTATGACAAGTTATTGGTGTTCAGACGCAAATTTTTTCAGCAATTTTTTCAGTTTTTTGTGATCAGAAAAGTTTCCGGCAAGCAATTTCGCAATTTTCTACTAATTTTCAACATTTATTTCTATTTCTATTTCCATTTTAGCTCATTTTTCGTTTTTTTCAGAGCCAACAATTATCAAAAAGTACGGTATTTATTGAAGGCGCGTTTGTGCAATTTGTAAATTGAGTCTCGACACGATAAATACGGTATTAAAGGCGTGAAGTAAAAATTTTTAACTGAAGTCTCGACGCGAAAAAATACGGTACTAAAGACGCATAGTTACAATATGTAACTGAAGTTTCGATACGAAATGTTTAATGCTCATTTTGGTATTTATCAGCTGATTTTTATTAATTTTTCAGCAGTTTTCAACAGAGTTTCCTTGAAAAAAAAACACTTAATTTCCATCGCTCATATAATAAAAAATAAAGAATTTACAATATACAAACATAATCCGTCCCAAAACAATCAAAACTACTGCAACGACAAGTCATTCTTCCGGGCTTTATACGAATTATCAAGACTCTGCACTTGGACATTCTTGAATTTGTCTCTCTTGGTTTCCGCCGAATACTCGTCTCGCTTCAAAAAGTCCTCCAGCGTTTCATAATCCTTCCTAGAAGATGTCGACGTGGCAGTGGCGCTTCTGGCTCTTCCGACGTTGACGTATTCGCCTTCGACGACTTCATCAGCAGTTGGGGCGACGGTGTTCAGTTGTTGCTTGGACATTCTGAAAGAAAAATTAATGTTAGAAAAATGAAAAAAAGAGGAAAATTTTATTAAAAAATGAAATAGCTGACCGAAAACTGTCCGCTGTCACATGCCGACTGTCCGTTTTATAGAAAACAATTTCAGATTGATAACCATTTGATTAATATGTGTACAAAACTGAAAATAGTGTAGGTTTCTGAGAGACGCAGACATTTTAAGCTTGTGGGTGTGTTTTCTTTGTTGTCGAGCACAAAACCATACAAATTTTTTGATAAAGAATGATGATGAGTGTCATTTTTAACTGTTTCTATCAGCTCAAAAATTGATTGAAATAATTTATTTGGAAAAAAGAAACAAAGAAGACAATTAGTGCTTCTTGGCTCTGGCTGGGCATGGACAGTAGTTGGCGTCTGGTCCAATGGACCCATCCTTTCCTGGAAGTCCTGGTTGTCCATCATCAGCATCACGTCCTGGCTGTCCAGCTGGTCCTTGTGGTCCCTGTGGTCCTTGCTCTCCGTCAGTTCCCGAGTCTCCATTCTTTCCTGGCTCTCCTTGAGATCCTGGCCATCCTGGTGTTCCTGGCTGCCCTGGAAGTCCTGGTCCTCCGATAGTTCCGTCTTGTCCAGTTGGTCCTTGAGATCCTTCCATTCCTGACTCTCCTGGTGGCCCTTGCTCTCCTCCGATTCCTGGCTCTCCTGGAGCACCATCCTCTCCGCATTGTCCAGCTGATCCGGAAGCTCCTGGGAATCCTGGCTCTCCGACCTCTCCATCTGGTCCTGGCTCTCCGGCTGGTCCTTGTGGGCATTGGATACATCCTCCTGGAAGATGGTGAGTGACTGCCAAGGAGACTCCGGAGGCTCCGTCGCGTCCCTTGTCTCCAGATGGTCCTTGGTCTCCACGTCCTCCTGGAAGTCCTGGTGGTCCTGGTGGTCCTGGTGGGCAGCCGAGGGAGTTGGCATCGCAGTTACATTGGGATGGATAGGCGGCACGCTTGTTACGGAAGATGCTGGCGAAGGCGAAGGAGCGGGTGTCATCGGCTTGGTTAGGCTTCGTCATTCCGATCATACGGTTCCAGGCATCATCGGACATCACCTAAATATCATTGTTAAAAAAAGCAAAAAGAGTTTGGACGGGGGTGGGGGTTGAATCAAAACGGCTTCGCTTGAAAGACAGAAGCGCTACCACTGAATCAACGCGCTGTTTCTGTCTGTGGCAAGCTTTGTTGATGATAAAGGGTGCGCTGGCTCGATGATGAAGTGGGTGGGGACGGCGGGAGATGAATGTTTGAGAACCAAAATTTCAACATTTTAACAGCTAAAATTTCAAAAAATATTTAAAAAATCCAGAACAAACCTTCATCTCATGAACTCCAGTGACAATTTCATCTCTCATCGTGTCGATATCCACGACAATCGAGTGCATGGCGATGAGAGCGCCGAAAACGGCAGCCAAAGAAATCGAAGCACACACGGGAATCAAATATTTAGACATGTTGAGATGTCTTCTGAATTTTTCCCCAGAACCGTTCCCATTTTTATACCAAAACTGTCCACTGCTAAATAGAATGTGATTTTGAGAGACTATTGTGACGGTACTGGAAGCGCATCCACTTTTTTCGACGGCGCGAAGAATCGAATAAAAAGTTAGGGCCGTATGAGAAAGCGTTTCGAAGAAGTTCCGAGGGCAAAAAAAGCGTTTTTCCGTGATAAGAGAACCGGTTTTTTATTTTGTTTCTGTTTTATATGGAACAATCTGGTACCTTTTTTAGAACTCAATTTTTAGAACAAATCTGTTAATAATTGTCGTTTATTCTCCTTTTTTCCTTTTCGAAGTCTCAGAAAACCAACTTTCTTTCCTCTTTTTTCCATTTTCCTACCGTAATCCCCCGTTTGAATTCCCGCGCCTGCGTGTCAAACTCATTGTGTGCAGTCGCGGTGTACACAACACGACGCGCAATTGCGGCCGGAAAAGCGAGAATTTCTGTTGGCCTAAATTTTTCCAACTTCTTTTTCGAGTTTTTGCACCCATTTCTTCGAATTTTTGCAGAAAATGTTTTTTAAGAAAAAATGGTCAGTTGGAATTTGTGATTCTGTTGAATCTCAACTTTTCATGCACGAATTGTGCATATGTGGCCTAAATTTCTAGTTGGAACTTATTTGAAATTATATTTTCATGTAGATGTTTGACTTGATATTTGCTATTTCTTCATTCTCGCATAATTTCGTTTCTCTATTTTATTTCTATCAAATTCATTGATTTTCAGAATAACATGGGTCTCGTCAAGGTCATTAAAAACAAGGCCTACTTCAAGCGCTACCAGGTTAAGCTGAAGCGTAGACGTGAGGGAAAGACTGACTACTACGCCAGAAAGCGTCTTACCGTCCAGGACAAGAACAAGTACAACACCCCAAAGTACCGTTTGATCGTCCGTTTGACCAACAAGGACATCGTCGCTCAACTCGCCTACTCCAAGATCGAAGGAGACGTTGTTGTCGCCTCGGCTTACGCTCATGAGCTCCCCCGTTACGGACTCAAGGCCGGACTTACCAACTACGCCGCTGCCTACGCCACCGGACTTCTCCTTGCTCGCCGTCACTTGAAGGCTATCGGACTTGACTCCACCTACAAGGGACACGAGGAGGTATATCAACTTCATGTTGGTCATATTGTAAGTATTTCGTATTTCAGCTCACCGGAGAGGACTATAATGTCGAGGAGGAGGGAGACCGTGCTCCATTCAAGGCTGTCCTTGACATCGGACTCGCCCGTACCACCACCGGATCCAAGATCTTCGCCGTCATGAAGGGAGTCGCTGATGGAGGTATCAACGTTCCACACAGTGAAAGCAGGTTCTTCGGATTCGACCAAGAGTCCAAGGACTACAACGCCGAAGCTCACCGTGACCGTATTCTCGGAAAGCACGTCGCTGATTACATGAGCCTTCTGAAGGAGGAGGACGAGGACCGCTACAAGCGTCAGTTCTCTAAGTTCCTCTCTAACGGAATGAACGCCGACAATCTTGTCGCCGTAAGTTGAAAAGGTTTCCCTGTGAAAACAGTAGCCTATATTTCTAGACTTACCAAAAGGCCCATGCTAACATCCGTGCTGATCCATCGCCATCCGCCAAGAAGGCTGCCAAGCCATCGAAGAGACACACCGCCAAGAGATTGACATACGACGAGAGAAAGCAACGCGTCGCCGACAAGAAGGCCCTTCTTCTCCAACTCAAGGAGCAACAACAAGAGTAAATCTCTGCTTGTTAATTTGTTTTCAAATGAACTTATTTGTTGACTTTCACATGCCTTGTTTTAATTTGTTGAAAAACGATAAGATTGATACATTAAGAATTTAGCTTCATTGAAAGTAGAGAAACGTTTTGAGCCTACTTTAGATGGCGGAGCTTGTACCTTCTGAGGTGCCTGGCTCATCGAAAGAGTCGTCATCGTTCTTCTCTAGCCTGTATGAGAACCTGAATCAAAATCCGTACTTCAATGCGGGAGCGGGTTTGGCTGGTATTGGGATAGCGATGAGTTTTTTGAGAAGGACAGCGCAAATCAGCAATACCTATTTCCGCAGACGTTTCATGATCACACTTCAGGTCAATAATGAAGACGCGTAAGCATTCAGAAATACGAAATTAGTTGGGGAACTGATATTTTAGGGCCTATCCCTGGCTTCTGGATTTCATCAACAAGCGAAGTGCCACACAGACCCGGAATCTTTCAGCGAATACCACAGTTCATCAAGCAGAAAGTGGAAAAACCGAACTTTCAATATCATTTTTACCAGGTCACGGAACCCATTTCTTCGTTCACAACTATCGATGGATCAAAGTGGAAAGGCAACGAGAGAAACAAGTGATTCAACGAGACGGAATTCGTACTCCATTCGAAACCGTCACTCTAACCACACTGGGTTCAGATGTGAAATTCTTCAAAAGCATGCTAGAACACTCCGCAAAAGAAGCAATCGATAACGCTGAAACCGGTCTAGTCATCTATCAAGCTGTAGGTCCTCAATGGGTCCGATTCGGTGTGCCACGAAAGAAGCGAGACATTGAGTCGGTTGTTCTGGATGGAAGAGTCTGTGATCAGCTAGTTCAGGACTTTCAAGAATTTATTGGCTCAGCCGCATGGTATGCGGATCGCGGAGTACCTTATCGACGTGGATATCTGTTCTACGGACCGCCAGGAACAGGAAAATCCAGTTTTATTTCAGCGCTAGCGAGCCATTTTGGTTATAGTGTGTGTCTTTTGTCACTGAGTGAGAGGACACTAGATGATGATAGGTAACTGCAGTCGCTTTATAAATCCACGTGTATTGATTTCCAGACTAAACCATCTTCTGAATACCGCTCCACCGAACAGCGTCGTCATCCTTGAAGACATCGACGCTGCGTTCGTGAGCCGTGAGGATCCAATGTCCAATCATCCAGCCTATCAGGGACTGTCACGTGTCACCTTTTCGGGTCTTCTGAATGCGTTGGACGGTGTTGCGTGCGCTGAAGAGCGGATCACTTTTATGACGACGAACTATGTGGAGAGGCTGGATCCAGCGTTGATTCGGCCTGGAAGGGTGGATAGGAAACAGTACTTTGGAAATGCCACCGAGGGAATGTTGAGAAAGGTTAGGGTGGCCTAGGTTTTGAGTTTCTAGGTCATTAGGCGGTTTTTTGAGCCAAAATGAGCAATTTGGGGGGTTTTTGGTCTTGATTTTCGAGGTCTTTTTCTCTAGAAGTCATTAAAAAATCTGCCAAAATCTGAAAAATTAGGATATTTTCAGCTACATATTGTCTTAAAAACTCATTTAAACCTTCTAGAATATACCAAAAAAAAAAGCAAAAAGGATTTGCAGTGGATGGGATTCNAATCCACGCTGTGTTACCNCAATTGGATCGGGAATCCAACACCTTAACCTCTCGGCCACCACTGCGCACAAAGGAGGAGGGTGTTACTGTAATGAGGAAGAGGGGAGGGGAGGCCACCCCCTCCTTTTTCTCTGAAAATAGTGAGGAGGAGGAGTGTCCTCTCCCACGCCCCCTCTTTAATTATAGCAACAGTCTCCTCCTTTGTGCGCAGTGGTGGCCGAGTGGTTAAGGCGTTGGATTCCCGTTCCAATTGTGGTAACACAGCGTGGGTTCGAATTCCCACCCACTGCAAATCATTTTTGTTTTGTTTTCAGTTTGTTCTAGAGGTTTATAAATTTTTAGGGCAATATTTTCTTCTAGTTTTGGGAAGCCTAAGACACTAAAATTCCTGGATTTAGGTCCACAAAAATCGTCTTCAGAACTGAAAAATCGTTTTGCAGATGTTCACTCGCTTCTATCGCGAACCATCAGACTCGAATCTTGCCGAGCAATTCGTGCAACGTGTCTCCGAACACAAAACCGAGCTCTCACCGGCGACGATTCAGGGACACTTTTTGATGCACAAACAGGATCCACGTGGCGCACTGGACAACATAAAGAACATGTTCAAATCTATATAGGGACTTTTTTTTGGATTTTTAGGTTTTGTAGTTTTTTTAGGATAGTTATTTATATTTACATAAATGTTGTATTTCTTCCAATTCATTAGAACCACCCGGGTGCCAGAATCGGGTCTTGCAGCGAACACTCAGAATAGTCCTCATGCAATGTATGATCGATTTTTATTGCACAAAAAATGGCCCCAATTCCTTTGTTTCGTCTTCCAGAATCTAATATTTTAATATTATCGAGTTGTTCGATTCATGGGAAAAGTAAGAAAAACATTTTCTCTGAAAACATTTTTTTTAATTTCAGAATAAAATTCGCGATATGCTCTGCGAAATGCGCGGTTTTTTTGAAAAAGAAAAGCCTGAAATCTGAAAAAATGCTTTTATGCCGCGTTCAAAGTAGCCTCCAGAAACTGGAAATCGCGTCCAAAGCTGTCAATTTTTCCAGGTTTTCCATGGACTTAAAACTTCGATTTCCCTCGTTGTAGCTGTGTTTTTTTCTTCGACATCAATTCGAGGTCCAAAAAAAGAAAGTTTCTTGTTAATTTACAGCGGACCTCGAAAAATCAACACAGCTACAACGCGGAAAATCGAAGTTTCGTGCTCCTGGAAAACCTGGGAAAATTGGCAGCTTTGGACGCAATTTCCAGTTCCTGGAGTCTACTTTGAACGCGGCATTACAATTGGGAACCCATCAGTACGGTGTGCACATTGTTGTCGATAGTGTCAAATTTGGTTTTCATCTGGTGCCGATTCATTTATGGTGTAGTAATAGTTCCACATGGATTCCAATGGATTCAGATCGATTTTTTGGAGAAATCGTCGATGCATTCCGCTGGGGAAACTATCGAAATTTGTAGAAAACTTCAATTGGCATTTGATGTTCAAGAATGTATAATGGGATTGAATTTAGGAAATTTGGAGGCGTCGGAAGAGATGCGAATTTTGATGCGAAACGCTTTCAATTTGAAAATTACAAAAATTAAACTGATCAGATGGAATTTTAATTTTGATACACTTTGTTATGCGATGAACACACTTCAACCTTCAACGAACTTGTCAATTAGAGGCGAATTTCCCTCCAATTTCAGTCATGAAAATGTAAGAAAGAACCTTTTTTTAACGCTCCCCCAGCTAAAAATCTGAACTGCAAGCCTACGCATGTGTGCCTGCATTCCATCGAAAAATGCGCGAATTCAAAATTGTCTTAATAAACGTTCCGGAAAAAACACCGCGAGGAAGTGAAACAAAAAGGAAGTATCTTTTATAGCAACCGAGATAATTGAGCTCAGACAAGTTTTTGATGCCTAATATTTGAACAGACGTACGAGGCTCCAAATTTTGAGGAGAGGGAGCACTAGTTAGATATGCATATTTTAAACGCGCATATCTCAAAAACTAATGAATTTATCGTAAAGTTGTAAACTGACAAATTATAAAGCATAAAGTTTCACATGTTTTTTCAGTCGACCAATTTTTTTCATCTCTTATAGAAGTTAAGATAATTGAGCTCAAAGTGCAAGTGTTTGCTGCCGCAGCTACCACAGCTGCCAGTGGAACGTTAACGATGAGGTTAGCATTGTTCGAATGGGTATACTTCAGAAACTAGCGAAAATATCAAAGAGCTGTTAACTCACAAAATATAGAATATAAAATTTTCTATATTTTTCAGCTGACAAACTTTTGATGCTTTGCATTTGAACAGAAATGAAATGCTTCAAACTTCAGTGGCCAAATTAACACCACAATAAGAGTTGTACCCCTCAAAAACCGTTTGCCTGTAACTACAGTAACCAAAGGCAACCTGCACATCTAACTATTAAGCGTTAGGCGTTACGTTAGGCGTTACGCTTTATTACGTTGTTTCGCGGCATTAGGAGAACCATTACAGAAACTAATGAGAACCTGCGGATTTAACTAGGCGTACCAGTACCTAACTACCGTAACCAATGACAACCTGCACATCTAACTTTTCTGTTCACTACAGTATCCGATAGTAACCTGCACATCCAGATTTCGATTTTCAGCAACATTTCCTCTCTTTTTTCTTTATTTTCCATCTACATTTTCCGAAAATTTTCAGGTAATGAGTCCCCTTGGGATCCTTCTTCTGATCCCTGGAATTCTCTCGGCTATCCCCAAACAACACCAAGTTCGTGACTCAAATGGTGTGATTGTGGAGAATGATAACGATGTTTGTGATGGAATGTGTCATTCAAATTATTCGGATGTTTTGGTAAGGGTGACCTAGAAATAGTTAGGCGATGAGGAAATAAGAGTCCAAAAAAAGTGGTTCAGAATCGTTTGATTTGATTGAAAACGTTGGAGAGTATTAAACAAGAATGAGGCTTCATTTTTGTAGTTGACAACTTTTTTGTAGCTTTTTTTTATTTTTGAGACAGGCGGCTTTAAAGATGGAAGCCATCACATAGCAAGAGAAAAAAGAAGGGGGATACGGTATTTTCAAAGACGCACATCTCAAAAACCAAAAAAGCTACGAAAAGTTGTCAACCACAAAAATGAAGCTCTCTTTTTGTTTCGTACACTCTAGAATTTGAAGACAAATTAAAAAATTTCAATAAAGTGAGATAAACGGTTTTTGAGGGGTACAACTCTTATTGTGGTGTTAATTTGGCCACTGAAGTTTGAAGCATTTCATTTCTGTTCAAATGCAAAGCATCAAAAGTTTGTCAGCTGAAAAATATAGAAAATTTTATATTCTATATTTTGTGAGTTAACAGCTCTTTGATATTTTCGCTAGTTTCTGAAGTATACCCATTCGAACAATGCTAACCTCATCGTTAACGTTCCACTGGCAGCTGTGGTAGCTGCGGCAGCAAACACTTGCACTTTGAGCTCAATTATCTTAACTTCTATAAGAGATGAAAAAAATTGGTCGACTGAAAAAACATGTGAAACTTTATGCTTTATAATTTGTCAGTTTACAACTTTACGATAAATTCATTAGTTTTTGAGATATGCGCGTTTAAAATATGCATATCTAACTAGTGCTCCCTCTCCTCAAAATTTGGAGCCTCGTACGTCTGTTCAAATATTAGGCATCAAAAACTTGTCTGAGCTCAATTATCTCGGTTGCTATAAAAGATACCCAAAATTGGTCAACTAATAAAATGTTTGCCATAATATCATAAACAACTTTCTAGTTTAAAGATTTTTGGTATTTCTTTTGGCAATCGAGATAAACCAACTTTTCCAGGAAGAATGTCGGTACGGTTGCCACCACCGTACCGGAATCCGTCAGCAAGTGAACCCATTCCAATCTTGTCTCGGTTCCTGTGAATCTCGTTTCCGTGCCAATTTCGACAAATTCGGAAATGAGACAGACTTCATAAATCGTGCCTGGGAAGCATGTCTCCATGCCTGCCGACTCCCATATAAAACGAAAATCCGGGTAGGTGGAAGAAATCTCAATAGAGCGAATTTGAAAATGTTATAGTGGAATGTGTACATCGATTTGCGTTCCGGTGAGCCGATTTGGAATTTCGAACGGATTGTCTCGGATGGTCATCGGATTTCTAGTGAGGCGCTGGAGTACCAGGACTTGATTAGTACCATAGTCTTGAGGAAGCATAACTTTTTCATGGATCCAAGCAGCAAGTTGAGATTGTGAGTGAACTAGAAAAGATTGGAAAAAGGGTCAACTGTGAAAGTGTAGAAAGTTAAATTTTACATATTTTGTTAGTTAACAACTTTCCATAGCTTGTACGGGACTCGTTCAGAACTGCTAACCTAATTACCTGGTTTACGTCTTCCAAATTGCTGGTTTCTCAAAGACTGTGCAACCTAGAAAAAAGTTGTCAACTAATAAAATGTAGAAAATATAATTTTACACACTTTACTAGTTGAAAACTCTTTGATAGCTTTCACTGGAGCCGAGATATGAACGCTCAAAGAAAAGAGCACAGAGAAGCCAGAGCGTCTTGCTGTCTGCGCACTCTACTCTCGCCCCACTTTCTAAACAAAACATTTCCAGCCCCAACCTAAATGTTTACGATGCTGACAACCGTGCCATGCAAGCCATAATGACAGAAATGCTCCAGAAGGTTCGTCAAGAGCTCTCCAGTGTCTCTCCTCGCCGTTTTGATGGAATCTCCAGTATCGATTATGTGGGTCCACGAGTGGTGGAGAACGGACCGAACGGACCAGTTGTCAAGGATATCACAGAACTACAGTACAGTCCGAAAGAGGTTATCATTTGTAAGTTTTTGAATTTTTTGGATTTTGGGTTTTGTGACTTGTCTAATTTCTAGACAAAGGAGTCGTGTTCAAAATGGATGATCTTCTAGATCAAGCGGATTTTCGTGAGCAACACTTCACTCTAATGGGTTTTATGATAATCATGATGGTCAGTGTTCTTGTCTGTGCGTGTGCAAAATTGCGGAGCCAATGGGTGGCTTATAAGGTGAGCACTCTAGCTACTCTGGGATTTTTATTTGAGCGCTTGTAACTCGGCTCCGGTAAAAGCTATCAAAAAGTTGTCAACTAACACAATTTGTAAAATTTTATTTTCTACATTTTAATAGTTGACAACTTTTTTCGAGCTAGCTTAGTTTTTGAGATACAAACGATTGAAAAATGGTGCAATGGGTCGACTAGTCTAAACTTTGGCAACTCTTATCTCATTTCTCGTACAAGCTATCAAAAAGTTGTCAACTAACACAATTTGTAAAATATTATTTTCTACAATTTATTAGTTGACAACTTTTTTCGAGCTAGCTTAGTTTTTGAGATATAACTATTTCTTTCAGGCAACCCGTGTCCGCCGCTATTCGAATTGCTCCCGTCAAAGTGACGACTGGACTAAACGAATCCCAACCACTGGAGACGCCCCACCATGTTATTCACCACGTGAAGATCGCAATTCAGTCAAACTAATCGTCCAAAATACTTCTTCTCGGTAGAGCGATCTTTCTTTAGAATCTCTTTTAGTTTCCCTTCGAAGAGTCTCTTTTCCCCATTTTCTCTCCCTCTCTCAAATTTAATGATGAATTTGTACATAAATAAACGATATAACTGGAAGAATACACATTTAAATGTGCATTCAACAAGATTTAACACAGAAAATAGCCTAGAATCTTCATAATTCGAAATTCCCTCCGAAATTCCTGCAAAAATTCCACGACGGTCTATGCAAGCGCGCTCCACCGGACTATTTTGTCGACAAATTTTTCTTCGATTTTTTCGCCGATTTTCGGGAATGTTTCAACAAAAATTGTATATTTTTAATGTTTTTCACTAAAATTTAGACAAAATTAGAATAAAAATTATTTTAACATTTTTAATTGCCCAAAAAAAAGATCAAAATTCGATTTTTAGAGACAATGAACAAGAAAAAGAAGATGTCACTTTTCGGCGACGATGATCCGGAAGAGGACCAAAGTAACGGTGGATTAGGCTTTAATAAAGTGAGATTTAAAGTTTTTAATTTAAAATATCGATTTTCTTTCAGGGATACGCCGAAAGATACGACAACTGGAGACGGTTGGAAGAGATGCAGAAAAGTGAGATTTCGTTTGAAATTTTGATTTTATCGGGAATTTTTTTTAGTCAAAGACAAATATGGCGACGATGATGATGATTCTTCAAGTGAATCTGAAGCCGAATGGGGAGAAGACGCCGAAGAAGGCTTTCTTCGAACCCTCGGAGCTCTAAAATCCGGAGATTTGTCTGGTTTTAAAAATGGAAAAGGGTTTTTCAAAGAAGTTAGCGAGTCGTCTGATGGAGAGAAGACAAAGAAGGAAAAGAAAAAGGACAAAAAAATGACTATCCGAGATTATAATCGCAAAGTCATGCTGGAGAAGGGAGGGTGAGTGTTTTGGCGGCTGGAAAACACTGGAAAGCCTAAAAATTGCGAAAATCTTTTTATAAAAATTAGAAAAGTCATCAAAAATCCGGTGGATTCCATAATTATTCATTGAGATTGCGAAATTTCATTGAGGGGTTTTTCTATAATTTCGAAAAAATTCAAGTCAAAAAATCCGTATAACACAGCTGGAATCCTGAAAAAATGAGCATTTTAATTTGATATGGTTGAAATTCTAATTCTTGAAAACCCTAGAAGTTTCAAATCGAACATCTGAAACTTAAAATATCTTCTGGAAATTTTTCCAGTTTTAATTTTGACATCAGTGTGTTTTCGATCTATTTTTATCTTGAAATTATAATTTATTCGAGCTAAGTGACTTCAAAAATCCCGATTATCCTCTATTTCAACGCGCCAACAGCGCCCCAGCTCGCCTTGTACATCCCAGCGAATTCTTATTGACCCATCTCATGCTTATCCCGCTCTCCCATCATAGAAACGCACACAAATTTTCTTTATACTCCCTCTTTTTCTATTCTCCCTCCCAAATAATCCAACGCAGCAAAGACAAGAGAAAGCCGAAATTTGGCATTTTTGAGTCTGCGTCTCGTCGAAACGACAATCTCTCGCACGGCTAGTCCATTTGCATGAGGGAATCCGATAACATCTTCTTTAGAAGGACGAGGTTCCACATGGCTCTAGGCTTCTGAATTTTTGAAAAACGATTTTTTGAAAATAGGCTAACCTTTAGGCTTTTAGTCTTTTTAGGGCTTTTAAAAGCTGGCAATCTCATCTAAAAATCATCTAAAAAATCAATAAATTTCCAGCCACTACACGGAAGAAGACGACGAACGATACAAGGATGAGCAACCGCAAGCCTACTGGCAGGAGCAAGAGAAGCTCAAGAAGAATCTCGCCGACGCCTTTAATTTCGAAGAAGACAATGAAGAGGAAATCTTCACAGAACGACAGAAAACGAAAAAAGAGCTGGACGATGAGGATGCGGATTTCTATGAATGGATGAAGTCGGAAGACGGAAAGGCTGATAAGAAGAAGGCCAAAGAGCTGAAACATCTGAAAAAGTTTTGGAAGGATGATGAGCAGAAATTGGATGATTCCGAGAAGTTTTTGAGGGATTACATTTTGAATAAGTATTATGAGCCAGGAGAGAAGGAGGAGTGAGTTTTAAAGCTTTTTGAAAAGAAAAAAGGGTTTTTTTTTCCAGAAATCCCACCTATGAAGACATTGTGGCGTTGGAGCAAGATGAAAAGGACCTTGATAAGAATCGACAGTACGAGCACAAGTACAATTTCAGATTTGAGGATCCGGATCAAGAATTTGTGAGTTTTTGATGATAAATTGTCACTTTTGAGACCTCGAAAGCATACTTGTAACGGACCGGGCCGGGCTCTTTGCCGAATTTCGAAGGCCCGGTCCGGCCCGGCGGGCCCGTCATTTCACAAGTTTTCAAAATTTAAAGGGGGACTCCGACCAAAAATTTTTATTGCATCAAAATGTGTTAAAAGTTATCTATTTTCCTAATATTATTGCAAAAAAATTTAAAAGAAATCCAAAATCCTCGAAAAACGCCGTTGAAAATGAAAAAAATTCAAAAAAGGTGCCGCCGTGGGACGAGGATTTGAATTCCCGCGCAGTGAGAAACCTAGGCTACGGCGCCTGAGAGCATTATTTTCAAGTGGCCGACAGTGTTTTTTAACGTTTTTTACCTGTTGGAGATAAAAGCGAGAAAAATCCGGAAAAATTGTCCGGTAAGAAAGTCGCGCTGCTCGCGTGGCCTAGGTTTCTCACTGAAAATCCTCGTCCCTCGGCGGCACCTTTTTTGAATTTTTTACCTTTTCAACGGCGTTTTTTGGGGATTTCGGATTTTTTTCGAATTTTTTCGCAATAATATTCTCAAAAAAAAAAAATTTTAACACATTTTGATGCAATAAAAAAATTGACCGGAGTCCCCCTTTAAAAAAAACACATAAGGGGGGACCCATATGTGTTTTTTTGCGATCAACAATTTTTTTTCGAGTTTTTTCGATTATTTTCGATCAAACAGACAAACAATCCAAAAAACGAAAAAAATGGAAAAAAATTATATTGGGAGCTCAAACTTTGGCTCAAAAATAGAGGTTTTTATACCGGGCCTTGACGGGCCGACCCGGAATTTGACAAGTATGCTCGAAAGTGGCTTAAAAATCTTAAAAATATAAACGAGGATTTTCTACCATTTTCGACAAAAACTCAAAAATCTTTTTTTCCAGATCAAGCAATATCCACGTACAGTAGCCGAATCGATGCGTACCGAAGACTCGTCTCGAAAAGACAAACGACACGAGAGAGAAGAGCGAAAAAAGAAGGAGAAAGAGGAAAAGAAGCGAGAATTGGCGGAATTGAAGAAAATGAAACGATCGGAAATTGAGCAGAAATTGGTGAAACTTCAAAAGGCGGCTGGTGTGAATATCCCGTTGACACTCGATGAGTTAAATGCGGATTTCGATCCAAAGGAGTTTGATAAGAAGATGAGCTCGATTTTCAACGATGAGTACTATGGGGTAGAGGAGAATGTGCAAGAGGATGATGATGAGAAGCCGGTTTTTAGTGATGTAAGTGTAAAAATGCCTTTTAAAAAATTTAGATTTAACAAAACACAAAAAATTTGACTATGAATTTGCCTAAAATCCAGCAAAAAAGCTATAGAAGCCTTCTAAAATAAACTAAAAAGAAAAAAAAAGGATTTGCAGTGGGTGGGATTCGAACCCACGCTGTGTTAATCACAATTGGAACGGGAATCCAACGCCTTAACCGCTCGGCCACCACTGCGCACAAAGGAGGAGGGTGTTACTGTAATGAGGGAGGGCGGGAAAGATAAAAGAGGAGAGCACCCCTCCTCTTTCTCTGAAAATGAGGAGGAGGAGGGTGTGTCCTCTCCCACGCTCTCTCTTTAATTATAGCAACAGTCTCCTCCTTTGTGCGCAGTGGTGGCCGAGTGGTTAAGGCGTTGGATTCCCGTTCCAATTGTGATTAACACAGCGTGGGTTCGCATCCCACCCACTGCAAATCCTTTTTGCTTTGTTTTAAATGTTTCGTGGGCGGGTTTTTGTCATTTTTTCAGAGAAAAAAAAATAAATCTCTAGCTAAAAAAAAAAACGAAAAAGCGTCTAAAACTTTTATAATCCATTAAAAAAGCAATAAAATTATATTGCAGATGGACGACAGTGACTACGAGGACTATGATAATTTGGATGTGGAGCAGTTGAAGAAGGAAGGTGTAGAAGAGGAAGATGAAGAAGAAGAATCAGATGAGGAGGAAGAGGAACAACAAGAGAAGGCTCAGACATCCAGCTCTTCGATGAAAAACGGAAAGTTCGATATGGCGGCGGCGGCGATGAAGGCGATGAGCAAGGATAAGAATGGTGAGGAGCACCTCGTTTTGGCTCATTTACATTCCCAAAAATTACAGAATCCCGCCGAAAAGGAAAACGAAACGCTCTGAAAGAGGCGCTCGCCAAGAAGAAGCCTCTCTTCAACCCGAAAGAGAAAACGTTCGAAGAATATTTCAACGAATATTACGCACTAGACTATGAGGATATCATTGGAGACACTCCGACGCGTTTCAAGTATCGTCAAGTCGCTCCGAATAGTTTTGGTTTGAGCACTGAGGAGATTCTGGAGGCCGACGAACGTCAGTTGAATGCGTGGGCTTCGCTTCAGAAGGTTGTTGGATATCGAACGTCACAAGAGGAGTTCTTCGATCAGAAAGCGTATAGGAGAAAGGCGGAAGACGTGGAGAAGAAGAATCGGATTCTGAATACCGATTTTGGTGGAAAGAAGTCGTTGAAAAGAAAGGCGGAGGATGAGGCGATGGCGAAGGCGTTGTTGGAGGAAGAAGCAGAAGACGTTGAAGCTGAAGGGGAGAAGAAGAAAAAGAAGAAGAAGAGAGCGAAGAAGAACACGGCAGATAAGAAGGCGAAGTTAGCGGAGAAGGAGAAGCAATCGGAGGTAGTAGAAGACGTGGAAGAAGAGGCGGAAGCTCCAGAGGCTCCAGAAGAATCTGAGATTCGAGAGGAGGAACCAGAAGACGTCGTTCAGGAGAAGAACGGAGATTCTTCTGCTCCACCACCAAAAAAAAAGGCACGGAAGAGATCTAAGAACAAAGTAAGTATCGGTGGCCTAGGATCCCAAATCTCGGCCATCTAGTAAAGCTGGCCTAGAACCACAAATATACGTTGTTAGGCCGTCAGAATGATTGGAAAATAGATCACATAGAAGTCCACCTTTGAAGCTTTTAGGTCATGTAATATTGTGGCCTGGGAATCCATTTTTGAGGTTTTCTAGGTCATTTCCAATTGTGGCCTAGAAATCCACTTTTGAAGTTATCTGGGTCATATAGAATCGTGGCCTAGAAATCCATTTTTAAGGTTTTCTGGGCCACTTAAGATTGTGGCCTAAAACCCATTTTTGAAATTTTCTAGGCCACTGAAAATTTTTGTCTAGAAATCTATTTTTGAAGTTATCCAGTCCACCTAAAAAATTGTGGCTTAGAATAGCGGTAGTTTCGGGGACTTCAATACAGTTTCAGGCTGAAACTTTGAGGGTTAAAAACTGAAAATTAGAATATCAGCCAAAATTAAAATTCAAAAATTTAAAACTTATTTTTCCAGAACACTGCGATCGCTGAGAAGTTTGGCGAAGGCATGACCGACTCTCGTGTTAAGGCCTACGGACTCAATCCGAGCCGTCTCAAAAAAGGACTCTTCTATGGAAAATAAGCAATCTCTTCTTCTCAAAATTTTCCTTATTTTTGTTACTGTCACCGTTGATTTTTTTTTTCCATTTTTTTAGCCTAAAAATTATCATTTTACTCATTTTTGTTGTTGTTGTCGCTCTCTGAATCTGTTGTGTTTATTGAAATTTAAAGTTTTTTTTTGAAAAATTTCAAATTACGATTTTTAAAAAGTCCTGTCACCTTTTTTGATATCTTTGATTTTTTGAAAATTTTGCCATTTCCCATATTTTTTCCACTGCTTTTCTTTTTTCCTCCTCCTCCACTCCTAGAATTTTCCTCCCATTTTTCTTGACACCACCACCAACAGCAAAATGCTTTTTTTGGGGTGCATCTCACGGACACATATTTAGTAAGAGAGCCTCTACTCCTCTTTATTCTTCCCATCCTGGTGTCAGTGGGAAGGAGACCGAATGGGTTTTCTAGTTCTTCTTCGCACGTCTCACTTTCTTTTCTTTTCCCCTTTCTTTTTTTGTTTTTTTTTGTTGGAGAGATTTTTTTTCGAGCGTTTTGGAGAGACTAATTTTGCAGTTTGTTGAGATTTGGTTTTGAAAATTTTCGTTTTGAAAATCAAAATTACCAATCTAAAAAATTTCATTTTTGAAACCAACAAACCCCTATACACTGCCCACAATTCGGCGAAAAATACATGATTTTCCAATTATTGTCAGACTCAAAAATACGAAAAATGCGCTAGTCAAAAACCCAAAAGTCCTCTATTATTTTTACCCGAAAAACTTCAGAACTTTCCCATTTTTCACGTGTCCGTTTTCACCTAAAATTTCAGCGAATTTTCGGGAATTTTTTCAGCTGAAACGTTGCAAATAACCTAATTTTCATATATATTTTTCTAGCTGAGAACTACCGAATTTGCATTATTCTCCTATTCTTTTCGATTTTGAAATTCTCAGAAAAATCTCAAAAAAACATTCTGGAAGCTCCCAAATTTTACATTTTTAGCTCAGAATTCCTGTTTTTGTTTTAGCTCTTTTTAAAGTTTTCAGATAGTTTTGGTATCCTCAAACAAATTTTTGCTCTGGATTCCTTTGTTCTTAATTTCATACTGAAATTTTCAGTCGAATTCATCCCCAAACAGTTCGCTTTTTTCAGAAGTAACGTCTTCTCAACCCTCTCCTCAAAAATGGGCGGAGTCATGTCATATTTTCGCGGCCTGTTCGGCGCTCGCGAGATGCGAATTCTGATTCTCGGGCTTGATGGTGCCGGCAAGACGACGATTCTGTATAGGCTGCAAGTGGGCGAAGTGGTGACGACGATTCCGACGATCGGGTTTAACGTGGAACAAGTCGAGTACAAGAATCTCAAATTTCAAGTTTGGGATCTGGGAGGACAGACGTCGATTCGACCATATTGGAGGTGCTATTATGCGAATACTGACGCTATTATCTATGTCGTTGATTCGGCTGATAGAGATCGAGTGAGTTTTTTATATTTTTATGGCAGGATTTAGGGATTTCTAGGCCACCAAGATTGGAAAAATGAAAAAAAAAACAAAAATGTATTTTCATAAACTTTTCTTCGTTTTTAGACGTTTTTCAGCCTTTTGATGATGGCCGAATTGTTGGATTTCTAGGCCATGGTGGCCCGGTTACCAAGATTGAGAAAAGTGAAAATAAATCGGCTAATAATAAAGAAAATGTATTTTTTATATGAAAATTCAAGAAATCATCAATTTTCGCTTCTAATAACGACAAAACCCCGCCCGCAATAAACACAAAAAAATACAAAAAAGATTTGCAGCGGGTGGGATTCGAACCCACGCTGTGTTAATCACAATTGGATCGGGAATCCAACGCCTTAACCACTCGGCCACCGCTGCGCACAAAGGAGGAGACTGTTGCTATAATTAAAGAGAGAGCGTGGGAGAGGATACACCCTCCTCCTCCTCATTTTCAGAGAAAGAGGAGGGGTGCTCTCCTCTTT